AAATAGAAGATACAAGTTTAACAAGAAGCAAAAATCTTAGAAAAAAGATAAAGAACCTAAATCGACATCAGTTTCTAATCAAAAAATATCTACCCCGCCGACCGAATCTAAAAAGAACTCGATCCCAAATATGTTCTTAGAAGGCGAACTTTCAAAACTTCATAAACCTGGTGGTAACAAGCAAATTAAGCCAGAGTTGATGGAGCAACATTTAAAGGCGACGGGTGGTAAAGTATTTACTAGGTTCCCTCCTGAACCTAATGGTTTTTTGCATATCGGCCACGCAAAGGCGATCAATGTAAACTTTGGATATGCCAAGGCACATAATGGACTCTGCTATCTCAGGTTTGTAATGGTTTTATTTATAAAGACTTCGAATTTTGTTCTTATTTATCAATTATTTATCAACCTTTTATATTTGTTGTAGATATGATGATACGAATCCTGAAGGTACAATATTTTTAATTAGTATTTTGTAATTATAATCGATTTTATAGTAATTTTATGTATTTTCATATTATAGCTGAGGAAGAACGTTACTTTGACTCTATAAGAGAAACCGTGGAATGGTTAGGATTCACACCATGGAAGATAACATATTCCTCTGATTACTTTGACAAGTTATACGAGTTGGCAATTGAGTTAATAAAACGCGACAAGGCTTACGCATGTTCATGTACACCTGAAGAGATGCACGAAATGCGTGGAGGTGATAATGGTGGTGAACGAAAAGGATGCGTTCATCGTAGTCGTCCTATCGAAGAGTCCTTGGCTGAATTTCAAAAGATGAAAGAAGGACGGTACAAAGAATCCGAAGTCACTTTACGTATGAAGATGGATATGCAAAGCGGAAATCCTCAATTTTGGGATCTTGTCGCTTATCGTGTTCTCTACACTCCACACCATCGGACGGGCGATAAATGGTGCATATATCCAACGTATGATTATACACATTGTCTCTGTGACTCTTTCGAAAATATAACCCATTCATTGTGTACTCTCGAGTTCCGAATGTCTCGTGAGTCTTATTATTGGCTTTGTGATGCACTTGAAGTCTACAAGCCTGTTCAATTTGAATATAATAGGTGAGTTTGTCACGCAGTCATTGCCTCTATAATTTTGGTTTCTACGCAAGTTCATTTATTTTAATCAATGATTTCAGACTAAATATTAACAATACAATCATGTCGAAACGTAAGATCATGAAACTTGTTACTGAGGGCTATGTCAAAGGATGGGATGACCCACGATTATACACTCTTCCTGCTTTGCGTAGACGTGGAGTACCACCAGAAGCCATTAATGGTTTTGTTCAAGATCTTGGAGTTACCACTTCTAATTCAACAATTCAGGTGTCTCGGTTTGAGAAATATGTTAGAGATTACTTAGATGCACACGTACCAAGATTAATGATCGTTGTAGATCCATTAAAGATAATCATTGAAAATTTACCTGATGATTATGCTGAGGAATTGACTGTTCCTTTCAAACCGAGAGATCCTTCCATGGGAGAAGTGAGTATCAACACTAAATCCATTCCATTATACTTTTTCTTATAGCAAGCATTTAATATTTTTATTTTTTATATAGCACACCGTTCCATTTAGTAAAATTGTATATATTGATAAGTCTGATTTTCGAGAGCATGACTCCCCTGATTACTTTCGTCTTGCCATAGGTAAGACAGTTGGATTGCTGCACGTGCCACATTGCATCACTTGTATTGATGCTGTGAAAGATGCAGAGGGGAATATTCAACATCTGGTTTGCCGTTACGAAGACGGGTCTGGTGTCAAGAAACCAAAAACATATATTCAATGGGTAGCAGAATCAAGAAGGCATAATTCTCCAGTTAATCTTCACGAAGTTCGTATATATAATAATCTATTCGTCTCAGAAGATCCCACTACAAATCCGAATGGTTTCTTGGCCGACATAAATCCCAATAGTCTTGAAGTTGCTACTAGTTCCTTGGCGGAGGTTGGATTACGTGAGGTTATATCACGTGCTTTTGATAAATCTAAGAATGTTCATGAATCGGTTAGATTTCAGGCTATTCGTGTTGGTTACTTTTGTCTCGACAAAGATTCGGTGATAGAAAAACCGTACGATAAGGCGAATCAACTGGTACTTAACAAGATTGTTTCCCTTAAAGAAGATCCCAAAAAAGGAATATAAGGGAGATGGGGTATTGTGGCCAGATTAATAAAACTTTTTAATAAACATAGATTGTTATACAATTATTATTATTTGAACTATGCTTAATAAAGAATAAAATAATGTAAAAAAAAGCCTTTATATCATATATATTTTAAATATAAATAATTAGTACACAAAATAGAATATAAAAACCAAATTTTAGAAGGGAAGTGGGTATTGTAGCCAATTATTTAACAGTGAATAACTTTTAACCTACTGGCCGTTTTGGGTGATTTTATCACCAAAATTACCGTCTCAGCAAGACGATTCTAACAACCACAAAATCGTTAAAATCCAATTACAGGATCCCAAGATCATTAAAGATTTATATATAAACATTTGCAGATTTACTTATATAATTTTTTGAAATAAAATAAATCGATATCAATCTCAGAATCCCGTAATTGGATTTTAACAATTTTATGCTTCTCATTGAGATGATCATTTTGGTGGTAAAATCGGTTAAAGATTCTATATATATTTAAGGATTTAATTAGGCATCACATAATATAGCATGATTAGGAAGATTTAAAACAAATGTTCATTTTGACAAAAGTTGCTTATAACTCAAAATTTCATATATGAAACTATTTTTTGCACTTTAACAAAAAAAATTCCTTGCAAAATTTTACCACTTATATTGTATCCTAACTCTACCTAACTTTAACCAAACAAAAAAATCAGTTTATTTTAGTTGTTATAAAAATATATTATATTTTATATATAGATACAATATATAAACATATCACAGCATGCGATGCATATATTTATCCTATATTTAATAATAAATTCAAATATGTGAAAAATTTATATTTTGCATAAATAATAATAGGAAATTGATATTTCCACATCCTTTTTTAATATTGTCACACCTCTGCTAACTTTAAACCCTAACTAAACTCTAATAATTTATATTGATTTTTATTAACAGGGGTGTGGCAATATCAAAAAAGGGTATGAAAATATCAATTTCCTAATAATATTTTTGGTTTTAATAATTAGAATTGGATGAATTTTATATCATTTAATATTTATCTAGATGAGATTTCAATTCTATACTAAATTATATGATATGTCACTTGGTCACAACCAAAAATAGTAAATATTGATTACTATATACTGTATGCAAATCAATATTTTTAAGCCAAATTGTGTGTAAATTAATATTTTTACAAATTTATATACAGTATGAGCTTTATAGCCAGAATTATTATAGTTTAGTTAAAATTAAGAGTCAATTTTAAAAATTTACAAGAAAACTTTTTGATATTGCTATGCATAATTTTTTTTATGATATTAATTTTAAAAAAAAGATTTTTTATATATTATATACTATATAATTTGTTACTTTAGTTTTTTATAAATTATTTTTGTAATAGTTGTTATATTATCTTGTTAGATGCAAGTTTTTTGTTATTTTTTTTTAAAATTATAATTATATATAATTTTTGTCAGGGATGATGTTAAAACAAAATGATGCTAAAATGTGGAGGTCTCAATTTAGAAATATAAACTCTACTAAAATCTATCTATACCTTTTTATTATAAACACTAGCCCTAAACCCTAACTTAACTATAAAAAAAAAGCTAAAAAAAACATTCTCCTAAAAATTTAAAATTTCATATTAAAATAAGTCAATATGTTAGCATCATCTTGTTTCAGCATTATTCCTGACAATTTTTAAGTAATAAACTAATATAAATATCAGTTAATTTTTTTTGATATTAAGGTAATCTCTTGATCATAATCCTTTTATTTTATTTTTTTTTGGCATATCCTGCTACTGTTTTTATTAAAATAGTAATCAAGCAAAAATTACAAAAATTTTTAACTATAGTTATTCTTTCTTTAATAGTAACAAGTGACTTACTTGACTTAAAAGCTCAAGTGTGACATCACCTAGCAGCTATTTGCCTTCCTCCAGGTTTTTAACTTCCTAGAGGCATGAATTCTTTAATCATTGACCAGTGTAATATGCTGTATCAGTATTATTTTTTCTTTTTACAAAACAAAATACAAATACAAAATCAAAGGACAAAAGAAAAAAAAGATATAATATCTTGACATCCAAGTTCGATCTATTTAATCAAATAAAACCAAAAAACATATAAAAGAAAAACAAAATAAAAGGAAAAAAAAAAAAGATAGCATTATTAAACTTGTGTCAGATTGTAAAAATTATATAGTACTACTAAATAATTTAGTCTAAACTCTATACTAGTTATTTATGACTATATTAGGATATATAAAATATCTATTTTTAAGTAAAGATCCAAGTTTAAAATTTTCTTGTGGTCCCACCAGGTTCGGTGTAGTATTTTGCAATATATTCTTGCGTTAGTGCTTGTCCTTGCGCAAAGTTAAACAACTTATACTTTTTCAGCTTCTGTAGATCTTGATATAAATATTATAACCTCTTGAGGTAACTGATTAGACATTATTAATTCCAAAGTAGACATGTAC